CGTTGTCGAAAAAAAAAAAAAAAAGAAAAAGAAAAAGAAGCAGAAAGTTCGAGAGATACATGGAATCGTCGCGAACGCGTCAGGCTACTGCGAGGACTGTACCGCGTCCAACGTCAATAGAACTTCACCGCTCCCCCCTCGCCGCCGCTCTCTGACTCAGAACTTAATTGGAGAACAAAAAAGCTGAGGAGATCCAATTGACCCGGAAGCGGACATCAACGCGGCGCGGCAGTATGTACGAATGGTATAGTAGAAATGTTGTGTCAGTCTTTTTAAGGAAATTGACCGTATGTCTCGAGGAGGACGAAAATTCACAAGCGCGACCGTCTCGACTCGCTCGTTTTCTCATGCAAATGCACATCGGCATTCCAGTGCTCTCGCGAAACGTTTAATCTAAGCCTTTACCCTTCGACGTCGCGCGAAAAAAATTTCAGCCGAGGAAAATGGCCGGCCATGAAATATATTCGAAGAGAACGAGGGTGTGCGGGAAGGGGGAAGAAGGGAGAAGGAAAAGGAGAAAAGAGAGGAAGACGCGATCGAGCAAGGGACGAGAGGTATCGACGACGGATATGATGATGATGAAAAACGAGGCACTTTCGAGGATCGATAGAGAAAACGCGGGGCGCTCGTTCGCGGAGTCGCGCGAAGAGGGAAAGATAAAGAGAGAGGTGGAGGACGAGAATAGGGCCCCGCGGGGTTTCGAAGAGGCGGGAGGGGGGGTGGGACGGGGGAAGGGGGCTCTCGTCGCCGTGACAGCACGTGTGTAGCAGAAGCGAACTCGGGGCCCCAGTTCGGTCCGTGGCTCGTAAAGCCTTTCATAAAAGCTTTCATAAAACGTTTCACGATCTCGTCGCACCGAGGGAATTCAGCGACGATCAACATCGCGCAAGATTCGTCCGGTCTTCCTCTGCAACTTCTCTTTCTTCTTCTTCTTCCACTCGGCAGAAAATATTCTCACAGGCCGAGTTCGAGATATATGCATTTCGCGTATTATCGCGAGTATCCGATAAAATAGAAAATTGTAAGAAGAGGCATTCGCTGTCCGCGGGTGTAAATCGCACTTAGAAAGTCTCCTTCCACTCGGCAGAAAATATTCTCTCGGGCCGCGCTCGAGATATATGCATTTCGCGTATTATCGCGAGTATCCGATAAAATAGAAAATTGTAAGAAGAGGCATTCGCTGTCCGCGGGTGTAAATCGCACTTAGAAAGTCTCCTTCCACTCGGCAGAAAATATTCTCTCGGGCCGCGCTCGAGATATATGCATTTCGCGTATTATCGCGAGTATCCGATAAAATAGAAAATTGCAAGAAGCATTCGCTGTCCGCGGGTGTAAATCACTTGAAAAGTCGACGAGTAAAAGTCCAAGGCAGCATCCAACGCAACCTGTTTTCCCAGTTCTAATACCGTTTTCTTTTTCTTCGCTCTTTTTCCCCGTTTTCTACTTGCATAAATTTCATTTCGAGGATACATCACAATTCACGATTCAACGACTTGGTCGACCACCTGAGATCCTTAACGCCTCTCGTCAACCAAAGAAGGGGGGAGGGGACTCTTTGTCCGCATTCAAGGAGGAAGCTCCGATTTCGATCTCGCAACGATTCGTCCTCGGGGACCATCATACCTAACTCATACGTGCCCGAGCGGGGTACGCGCTCGGAGACATAAAAGCTCGTAACCAGGCTGATCCAGATTTCCCTCTCCCCCTCCGCCGCTCCCCTCTCCTTAATACCATCGATTCGCTGTTCCTTTCGTCGCTATACCAACGTATCTCGAATTAAACCCCGGCCAGCAGATACGACAGATTCGTTGAATAGCAGTCGAGTTAGCTGGCTTTTTGAATCCGGCGTCTCTTAACGAAGGGTTCGCAGCGGCCGAGCCTTCTTCCCAGACTACGTGTAGTCCGAGAAGAAGGTTCGCTTTTCGAAACGGAGCCTCCTCGTCGAAGTTCTTTTTTTCTTCTTTTAAAGAGACTTGTGTAGCATGTATAACGATAGAGATTTAGAAACAACTGAAGAGTCTCAAGTTCTAGAATCCTTTCTCTTTCTTCTTGGGCCAGACACGTGTGTGCGTGTATCTTCTCAAGTAGATAATCGTCCGCCGTAACGTCGATTACTTTTTAAAGCCCTCGCTAAATTGGACGACGATCTGTACGCAGAGAGAAAGAGACGGCCCTCGCCCGATCGGGGGCTCGAGCCGATTTCGAGGACGGAGCGGATTTTCTCGCCCGACGGGTGGGCATTCGATGATCATTCTTCCGACTCGGCGCTGCGGACGGATATCGTTAAAAAACGTAATCGAGCCGGGGGAATCAGTGTGCTATCAGTTAATGAATCTGGCCCCGCGTGCGACGGAACGACGGGGCCCGAAGGGCCCCGGGGACGGGAAGGCCTGTCTCCTTCTCCCTCGAGAGAGTCTCCGCGGGCCCCCTGACAATGGCGAGGCGTCCGACGAATTTCGAAAAGGACAAAAATAAAAAATGATCCTGCGCGCGCTCGCGCTCACGCTCGCGAGAGAGGAAGCGGACGGCGAAAGAGGAAAGAGACCTCTCTTCTCTTTCTCTCCCTTCCTCTTTCTGCTATCCGCTCCTTCCAGCGTCTGCTGCGTGCCTGCCCGTTGTCCGTCCGACTGTCCGTCTTCTCTTTTCATCCTTACTGCCTTTTATCCGGGTGGAATGATTAATGGGTTCACGGAGGCACCGCGGTATCTCTTCTCCCTCACCCCTCATCGGACCCCACCTTTCGATCCTTCCCGAAGAGTACCCATATCTCTCTCTCTCTCTCTCTCTCTTTCTCTCTCTCTCTCTCTCTCTCTCCCTCCCCCACTCGCGCGCATAGGTAAGTTTTCTGCTGCTTTTCTTCGCACGCCAGATTATCGCTCCCCCGCTCGCACAGCATGGCGATTGTACGACACTGGTACACACCTCCTTTCTGTGCCCTCGGTGTATCGCATTAATATCGCGCGGCGCCATGAAATGGAGCGATTAACTGGACGGAAAGTCTGGCGTGGAACTGATCCAATAGTTGGCTCGTAACAAAAGTTTGAAAACATATAGGATATATAGGCCGTGAGCGTAAGTCGGCTTTTAACTGGTACGAGGAAAAGAAGTGAGGCGATCGATATATGGTCACGTCACGGGTGTTCCCGGACGTTAAATATGCTTATAGGGTATTTCATTTCATCATAGTCAACGCGATACGATACGATGGCACATATATATTTTCAACGAGAGAAACAAATATGCTACAACATATTTGTTTGTCAGATCGTCAAGGCGAGGTTTGTAGAGGCGAATGACGTTCTAAGAAGTATCTAAGAAATATTATCCTTCCCTTTTTTTTGTCCCACGTTGTCTAACGTGTCATACTTAAGATGACGCGTTACCGCTTTATAGGCTCTTTTACATGATAAATTACGCGAGATTTTTTTTGTATCAATCGCGACGCGATACATAATACCGTAAAATGCCCCAGCTTTTGTTCCTCGTCACCTGCACGTAGGTGGCGACCAGTTGGGAGACGCGCGACAAGTGAGAAACAGATGGAAACTCCTCACGGCCTTTGTCTTCTTCTTAAATACAAGATTGTGATAAATTTTATATTAATTTCATATTATTACAATATCATTTTTCAAGTTTATCTGGAAATGTCTATACGAGTGTTGGATTATTCATTGAGAATCATATATTCATACATTGTTACAGCTGTCGCCAAAAAAAATCACTGGATCGAAATGAATAAATTAATTTGTAATTCTATCAGCATTCTGTGTGTCAGCATTCTATCCTTCATTCATATTCCAATCAAAAGTTCCGGGATACGCATATTGAAAACTATTTTCGTCGAGCAAATAATTCGCCAAGGTGCCGAGAGAGAAGGAGGGGGGGGGGGAGAGGGGGAGAGAGAGAGAGAAAGAGAGAGAGAGAGAAAGTGCGCACGTGAGTTAAAGCGACTTGAGAATTCCGGACCGCAGGGAATTCTCGAGAGCGTCAACCCACGCCGGTCGCCGCGCGCAACGGGAAACGATGACGCTGGCTGATCTCGAAGGCATCCATCGATCGCGGGTCGGCGGTCGACGCTTAGCGCACAGTCGGGACCGACCGACTTTATGAGTTATAAGTCGGCCATCTTGCGAGAGCCATCACATATTCACGTGCGCACATATGCGATGCACCGGCAATATGTAAGTGCCACATTCTGTTCTGGTGCACGTACAGTCCCGGCCGAAAGCCCCGCCGGTTCTCTCTCTCTCACTCTTTCTCTCCTCTCTCTCTCTCTCTCTCTGTACGAGCTCCCCGTCCTATAGCTCGCACACGAGCGCACATATCGCGAGAGAAGTGCATTCGTTTATCGCGATGCCGGCTGACGTAATCGCCGCCGCTCGGCAGAGGCTTCTAATTCACATTGTATCGAACGATGATCGGCGGCTACCAGGCGCGGCGATCAGCGGATTCTCGACAAATCGCCGGAAGAATACACGCGCACGTTTGTCGCGAGTATTAATCGTTTCGTTTTTTCCTCAGGCTCCAACGTGATTCGAGCTATCAAAAAAAAAGACAAAAAAAAGAGAAAAGAAAAACACGACGACAGCGTTCGGAATTTCGTCGATCGATAACTCTTGCGGCAAGCAAGACGCGGCAATTGATACCCGGCCAAACTCGATCGCGAATGTCGACCAGTTGCGGCCAACGATCAATCCTACGCCAACCCTGAATTTGGATGCCAATCCGTGCAGTCTGATCCGTCTAACAATTTCGTCGGACGGCAATGCGGGCGATTCTAGCAACGCTACGACGACAATGCGGTTTCAAATAGCCATTCAAAGTCATAATACTTTTAATTTCTGGAGTGACGATATGACGGTACTTCAAATAATAATTGTTACGAGATATTCGAAAAAATTGCCGTGCTATACTTTATGTACTGATGAGAGATTTTACGAGGATTATCGATTTATTCGATCGAATATACATAAATCGTTGAATTTGAGAGGATCACTCACCTTGAGCTTGCTGGACGACGATCGGGTTGAGGAACGTGGGCGGCAGTTGCCTGCTGACCGATTTCGCCAGCTCGCCTCCCGCCAGCCCGTATATCGCCAGAAGCTCCTGCATCGTCGACTCCGCGTACTCCCGCATGCCCTCGAAGGGTTTTCGCTCCTCGATCTCGACCTCACCGTCGACGTCGTTGCCCCGCTCGTCGTCGAATTGGGTGTCCTGGTCGTCCAAGCGAGACGATTCCGCGTCCAGGACGCCGCTCCCGCTTCTGTCCGACGAATCGGAGTTCGGGCTTCTCGCCTGTGGAACATTCCGGGAACAAACGTCTCATGTTGAATAAACGAAAAAATCAAAATAATCACAAAAGCAAAAATCAGTTGTGATCACTTACCTCTGTACCGGGGGAGTAAAACTTCTGCGACCTCAGCTGCTCGAGGATGAACTTGTGCCTGAGAGAGTCCGCGCTGTCGTCGTCGGCCTCGGAGGACGGCGGTCTGGTGGCGACCGAGAGGTCCATCGGACTGGCCTCGTTGTTGTTTAGTCTCTGCTTCGATCTCTCCTCGGCCGGCAGCAGCATCGTCTTCCTCTCGTACTCCAGGATCTCGCTGGAGCTCTCCTCCACGACCTCCGGCTCGTCGTCGTCTCTCTCGGACTCGTCGGACACCTCCGCCATCCGGCTGCTTATGGGCTTGAAGTTTTTCCGCTTGTTCCGCGGCTTGCTCTGGATGCTGCTGGTGATCTGCAACTGGGCCTGGGCCTCGTACTGGGAGTCGCTGTCCTGGTCGGCGGCGCCCCGTCGGGTCGTCGCGTAGTTGTAGACCGAGTCGGAAAGCATCTCCGCTGATGAAAGATGGAATTCACTCGATCGCCGTCTCGTTTGGATAAGCCGCTATAATCCTATCGTTCCATTTCTCAACCGACGCTAATGGCGTGCGCGCGCAAGAACCGTGAGCGAGTCCGATCTCAAGCTGTTTTTCGTCTCATTTTTACATCTCTCCCGGCCGGTCTCTCAAATAACTCCGTAATGTCGGACGAGGAATAAAGACAATCTCTGGATGAGCAATGTATCCCGGCTATTTGCATCGCGAAGGTAGAGGCGACAATAGTCACTAATTTCGCGTAACGAATGCCGCCGCGGCGTTTCAAGGCAATGCCGCGTTAGCCGCGTCGCTCGTTTCTCATATCGCAGTTAATAGATATCAACTTTTAGCGTCAATTACAATCTCGCGAAGTCGGGCTGCTAAGCGCACGCTTCTTCTCGGAACATCGGTGGTACGGTGTACCACCAGTTCCATAAAATTAATGCCGCGGCACTTAGACGCACCGAAATGATTGCTCTATGATGCACGTAGGACGATTTCTCTAACGCAAATGCGAAGAATCGTCGGTCATAACCATATTATGCAAAGTAACGGATCCTCCTCCGAGCTCAACGTTCCAAATGAAAAAGATTCGCGATTGTTGCAAGATTAATTATAATAATTTTTAATTATAACAATATAATAACAAAGTAATGTATTCCCGAATTTAACGTTTCAAATAAAATAATTCGCGATTGTTGCAAGATTAATTATAATTTTTAATTATCTCTGTTGTTTAGATTACTATTAAAGTCATTAAAATCCTGATACTTTGATTTTTTTACAGCGCTTTGTGGCGAATTTAAGATAAATTTATTATATATAGAACGAATTTTTAGCAAGTAATCGAGACTGAAAAGTGTCTTACCGGGGCCATATGGGCTGGTTACGGCGGACATCTCGAACCTCGCGAACCAGCCGGCTCCTCACCGCATCCTGGAAACAAAATGCAAAATATTAATAATTCAATTCGACCTCCAAGCGACCTAACGCGCGGATCTGCTTCCCACGTGTTCACGCTGACACGTGAGAATGACCCGCGAGGAGTGGCACTGCCTTCCTTGTTTGATGCGGCGATGCGCAGGACGTACCCGCAGATATTATACCTTCGAACAAAAGGGAATCACCGCGGTGAGAATCGATTTCGATTCATTGCGTGGTAATCTTGCATCGCGCGGCTGCGACGCGCGATCAACTGTTAGTCTCGAATGAAGTCCACGACTTGTTCCACGACAATACATACTCGCCGACGATGTTTCCGAGTCTGTACTTGAGCCACGAGGAGGGAGGCGATGTAAAGGAATCGCGAAAACGAGGCGAAAACAAAGGCACGTCGCCGTAACAAAAGCTACGGTGATATACGAGCGCTCGGTGCCGGGTCTCGCGCTGCTAGTCTCGGGCGACCGACCGGCCTGGCGCGATAACGCGCGAGTGCACGACAATTCGTTTCTCGGTTATTGGAATGCAGACCTTTAAGCCCATTACACGCTGTCGTGTCGCACGGCGGCTACGAAGGAGAGAGAATTGCAGTTGAAAGAGAGAGAGAGAGAGAGAGAGAGAGAGAGAGAGAGATAAAGAGAGAACGAGAGGAAGACACGAAGGAGAGAAGACGGCCGACGAAGCGAAAAAAGAAAAAAAAAACAGAAATGAGAAAGAAACAATAAAAGGACGTGGAGCGCAGGCGGCGTGATAAGCACATTAACGTCCGACCAATCGAAAGGGTTTATCTCGGAGGGGTTATACTCCGCATTAACTGTCATTTCATGGCCTTACGGCTCTCGGGTTTGGCTCTCTCGCAATGAGAAACGGCGGAATGGAATTTCAATCCGTTGGAAAATGACTTCTTACCGGCCGCTTCTGCCGCCACCGCCGCCGCCGCCGCCGCCGCGGTTCGTCGCGCGATCGCCTACGTCGTAGCACACGTAAAAAAGGCCGTTTGCCTTTTTTGGCGTTGGAGGTTTGACCCCGGCGCGGTTGTCGGACCGCATCCTTCAGGAACCCGTCGCGAGACGAGCGGTCGATGGGGTACATAGCTCGCTCGCACGCCGCGCGCGCGGTGTCGTCTTTTATTAATGTCGCGTTTAATCGTTTGTCCGCTCGTGCGGAAAGAACGACGCGTCCCGACGACGGAATTTACTTATATTTACACGCGAATCGCTTAAAATGCATCCGTGTGCACGCGGCATAACGATAATTTAAACTTGGCATCGCAATCAAGCGATAAGGTACGTCGCGAAGTCGCGGAGCTCTCCCCCGATGATAATTGCCGATCACGATACACCGGCTAATGAGCCGAGTCGTAAATAATTAACCTTTAAATAGAGAAACCATCCCCCCAGGGCCATATCGGAATCGACCGCGGATCGGCGACACGCGCCGTAATTCCAACCTGTCGTACCGATCACGGTTGATGTACGAGGGCTTTCTATTGCCTCCTCGATCAAGGCGCAAATTGTGTTGCGCGTCGCTCGCACGACAGACCGCTATTCAGACCGGTAACCAACCGGTCCTCGAAAGATCAACCCGCTACCCCCCGAGCTTGCTAGCTACCGCGTGTCGACTGACGCTTGTCTGCTACGTCAATGAGGAAATCGTCTCGGAAGACATACGCATCCGTTTCGCAAAACTGAGACTTTCAATATTAAATCTTGACGAATCCTATAATTATTGCACGAATAACTTCTCAATAGAATCTTTGAATGAAAAACATTTTTTTTTTCAAATGACATATATAACATTATTTCTCTATTTTATTCATATCTCATTCTGTAATCGTTATTTTAGTTCTAATCGACGAAATGAAAGTACGTGTGGATTACCATCGGCATGCAACAGAATTCTGTCGCAACCTACTCCTATAGCCATTGTTGCTGCCACTTGGCGCGCCCCGGCACATCGGGATCCATCGACGGATCTACAGATTTAAGCAGAAAGATCTGTGCGAATAATCGCAAGTAGGGTCGGTCGAAGTCGAGCGCGCCCTCCGATTGGCGCGAGCGCGTTAGGCGTAGCCGCGAGAGAAATATACGCGCGCCTGGCGGCCGCTGCGGCCCCGACCGCGCGGCGACGAGCGGGGATGCGCAGCGTGTACGATCGGACGATATGTCCGAGTGCCCGCGAGGAAAGGAGCGCGAGCGCGCGAGCTCCTTTTTTCGCCGGCTATACAGAAGGGATAATTAACATCTGTTACAGTACCTATAGCGCGCGGGCCGCCCCGTTTCACCCCACCATGCGGCGCACGGGGCGGACCTTGAATACATTATCACCCTCTCTGTACGTGCAAGCTGCACGCACGCACGCACACGTGTATGCGTGCGTGCGTACACGTGTGCGCCGAAATCGTCAAGTCGCGCGCGGTGCTCGCGATTCGACCGTGAACGAAAAACCTTTATCTCCGCATGCGGCCTCGCTCGCGTCCCCGCGTACTACATTCGTCGGGGATCTAACGATCTCTTCGAGTCGCGCGGGTTGCGAATTAAATTTTGCGCGAGCAGAGCTCACGCTCGCCACCCCTGTCTGACTATTTCTTTTTGTTCTTCCTTTTTAATAGGAACATTGGGAACCCCGGTCCGTTTTTGACGAATTCGATTTTGCTAGTAATAATCAACAGTCGAATTTAGCAAATATAGTGTATGTAATGGTTAAGAAAATATTGGAATAATTATGAATGTAAAAGGCGACTAGTTTCGTAAAAAATTTGCAAAAATTTAGCAAAAATTTCTGCACACGGCGGCTGCTTTGATGGCAACTTCCTGTTGACGAATGAGAAATCCGTCTTAGGTGTGTCATAAAGAACTTGTCGGTAGATTTTATTTTTGAAACTTGCTGGCGAAACAAAGAGAAGGCTTGTTTTCCTTTGTTTTTCCTTGTTTTCCCGATTCTATTGTTGCATCGTTCGACCTCGCGTACAATACAATGAAAAGGTTGATCTCTCAATGGATTTTTAAAATTCCGAAGCTTGGCCTAAATACTCGAGATGCCAGATCGTCCAGATCTGGAAGTTACCAAAAGTCGACCGAAAGTGACTTTAAGTCGGAGACGCGCCATGCGCCTATGCTGGGAAATTTTCGAATTCTGCTTCTCCTCTTACCTTAGCGCGATCGCCGGTAAGCAAATTGGAATAAAAAGTGTTACGTGAATGGCGAGAGTAGCCGTGATTATTAAATGCCTGTTAAATTGCGAATTATACAAAGCAACGTTCAGACAAATTGCCTTGTGAACTCCAACGGCGCAATTGGCATAATGCATATTGAGAAGCCGTGTTTCACGTAATTGCAAAAATGTGCTTGCAAACCGCTTGCTAATGAGAACACGTCACGCATCGGCGATGCCCGTGAATCTAAATCGACGATCGACTCGAGGGGGGAAAAAGAAACTATGGAATGCGGGCATTTCACGACAATTAAGACACTTGCAGTCATTACAGTTCCGTAGCGTGTAGATGCAGTTCAGATTCTTTGTTTTTCCTTCGAATTGTGCACATTTTTCGCATATTCGCGCCACAAAGGAAATTAAAATTTGCTATAACATAGAAAATTAAAATGTAATGTTTATTCTGCGTAATTTCAATTTAATTCTGACAATTTACTTTGTAGAGATGTTTGAAGAATGAAGGATTTTCTTAAGGTCTATCAATCGCATATCTAAATCTATGTATATGAAGGAGACGCGTCAAATGGAAGAGATGAGATGAGGCCGGGACGAGTCGGGACGGGATAAAATTGTGCGAGACAAGCGGGCTTGGGCTCCGTGAGAGCGGGCTACCACTCGACATAGCTCGACGCTGATGCCGATGCCAGAAGGAGGAAACAAAAAAGTCGGCGACGTAACGCGTTCGTTCGTCAAACACTCGAACGTAACGTTGCCAGGCCCCGGCGGGCTTGGAGAGGGGCCGACTCGCGGCTTCTGGAGTGCCTGCTGCGGAATACCAGGAGATTATTCAAATTCGCCACTGACGGCTTAAAATGTATATTAATCGTCTATCTCATGCTGGGACGAACGACCGGAAACCAAGAGCTCGCTGCTCGCCGTCGAATAATATACCAACCGCGACTTATGTCGAACCACTCGTCTCCAAATACACCAACGACAAAATGCCTTAGATGGCTTAGATCCAGGTGCTCGGGACGTGTCTCTCGAACGACGACGCGACATATCGGAGTCGCGTTGTCGCATTGATGTCACCGTATATAAAACGAAACGTCATTATAATATAATAATGTAATTGTTACAAAAATTTGACAATCCTGAAACCTATTACATTATCGCGATAAGTTACATTAAACCTAATATTGCCTGGTTAGTTGATTAGTTCAGTCGATAGAACATGAGACTCTTAATCTCTCTCTCTCTCTCTCGTTAATTAAACAATTATAATTTCAATAATAAGATAAACTAAACCGCTAAGTGAACAACAAAATTAAATCGAGAAACTTATCGATTTAATTGAATTATAATTTTGTTAAAATCTTATGAAACTATATCCGAACAATATAGGATTGTTACTCATTCAAATTTCTAAATTTTTATTTTCGATATTCCGATAATTTTGTAATTATTCAAAAAGGCCTTCCATTAAACTTTTACTTAGCAAAAGTCAACACGCCGCGAACTCTCTCTCTCGAGAGTCAGAGTGACTGAGATAAAGCACGGGCTTCTCGCGCGGCTTATATTTTTTAAAATACTTTTCCGTTGTATAAGGATTACTGTAGAACTGCTTCTGCACTCTTTCGCACGTGTGTGGCACCTCTACCTTGCTCCCGGGCCGAGAAGCCGAGAAAGGAGGTGTAGAGAGAACGGGTTGGAGAGAGGGCGAGTGTGTTCATAAGATATGGTGTGAAACACGAGAGGACCGAGATTAAAGAATGAAAAACATAGAATTCTGAGAACTGGTTGAAGTCATAATATTCGTAATTTCAAGCCGCGCCTTATGGCGG